CCCTTCATAGTATTTACTTGTCCGATTGAGTAAAAACGTTTGAGAAAAATAGTTATACTTAGGGCTCTGGAAGAACAAATTGAGGGGGAAAGTGATTCTTTGGGGTCATGGCAGCATGGTATTACACGTTCAAATATGATTTCTCTTAAAAACTTATAGCTAACTTCCCCAAAGTGGGTTCAAATGACGAGAAACTAGATGTCAACCATGAACATATATCACATGTTCCAGTGTAGACTAGTGTCAGAGTATGAGATACACCACAAAGGAAAAATAATTTTCGATTCGTCGTTATTTTCAGCATGCGAACTGCATGATGGACAGCGCTGTTCATCTTCTAGCGTACGTGGAAACTATATCTGTTGTAATGGCTGCGCGTATCCTTACCGAAGTGGAATGGACTGCTGTTCAAGTGTTGGATACAACACTCAAATAAATGTCTGCTGTAGCGGTACTGTCCAAAGGAGACCAGCGAGCTCACAACGCGCAGCATGCTGCGGATCAAAGGCCTACGATCCAAGCAGGTCAGTTCATTTAAGAACTACTAGAAAATAGAAAATCTGAAATCCGAATACAACTTCTCAATCGCAAATGATTGATTGGTTTAGGTAAGGCCACTGTAATGCCAAAGTTACTTAATCATATTAAATAATGCAACACTATTTCCCGAATAAGCCCCCCTCCATCGCCCTGATTGCGTATGGACCCGCTTGCTCTTTTTCATTCTTTTTCTTCTATTCTATTTATCATCTCATGTCATCCTATATTCGTTCCGCGATGACCTCTCAGCGCTTGGTATTAGGTGTGCTTCAGGTTTCGTCTTTCGCGTTCATCATATATAGAGGTTATTTAATGGGATCTCTGAGGGAAATAAAATATATAAAGATGGAGCTACATAAAAGAACGATTATAGATGGAGCTTGGAATACTTGGTTTTAGATAAAATGTTGACATAAGAAGTCACAATCTTCTATCACATTTCTACAGTATCATTTTACAAGTAACATACTGTACATGCATTGATTTACATTACTGTAAAACGGTATGCATGTGAAAACTATGAACCAATATTTTTGTCAAGCTATTAAAATAGATGGCAGCATTCCACAGTTCAGTGTTCCTTCATCATTTTTCAAATGAGCTCGATCTATAAAATAATATCACATATTAACACGTTATGCGGTGACTCCCGAATTAAGATACCACAGATTAACATTTTGCTTCTAAATGATTCAATTACAGATCGCAACTTATCATTTTACGTATTACCAGTTTAAATCGAAGTGATGAAATATTGCATTAGTGAACTAATATTGTTGCATATAGAATCGTTTTATTTTTCCAATGTTGTAACGTTTACTTTATATAAGGCAACCATGTATTTTGGTTTATTGATGGATATATTTTTAGGAACGCTTGCTGCAGTGGCCAAATAAGTCCAATACGAGGCAGTCGAAATGCATGCTGTGGAACAGTCTGTTTCAACATGGATACGCATGCGTGCTGCAACGGTCAGGTTAAGCCCCGTCCGTCTGGAGGTTTCGGTCAGGTCATGTGTTGTGGCTCCGAGCCGTACATCAGGGGACAGCAAGTGTGTTGTAAGGGCTCTTCACCTGGTATGATGGAACGTGCATCGAGAACAGACTCTTGCTGTGGTCCAGTGGCGTTTAATAGTCAAACTCATGTCTGTTGCGGAGGGACCGTGACCCCAAAACCGAGAGGTCAAGGTCAATTACGATGTTGTGACACGAAAGCTTATTACAGTTCTGAACAAAGCTGCTGCGGTGGCGTGCTTAGTAATGTCGCAAATGCCGATATGTGTTGTGGACAGGAGGCGTATAACAGTAGAACACATGCCTGTTGCGCAATGACCGTGAAGCCTCTGCCACCAGGAACCGGAGATATCCGATGTTGTGGCCCTGACCCATTTAGAATTGACCAACACGTCTGTTGCAGCAACGGACTTGGAACAGGTATCAAGACAGACCGGTGTTGCAATGGTAATGCATACTTTAGTGAAACACACACATGCTGTGGAGGAATGATTGATCGTAAACCACCAGGGGTAACTCAAGTCGGCTGTTGTGGAACAAAGTCGTATAATCCACTCACTCAACTCTGCTGTTACACTACGATTGCTGAGAAATCCGCTGGATTTGATCAATGTTGTGGAAGCACACCGTACATGAGTGACACGCAGATCTGTCGTGGAGGATTTGTCCAGCCAAAGCCCCTACTTCCGGGACCTGGGAGGGAAATCGCTGGACCAGGAAATGGCGATACGGGTAGTGGACTTCCGGGTCGAGGTGACCTACCTGGTGGAGGTACTGGGGCAGGAGAGAGACCTGATACGGGTAGTCGGGAGGCATTTTGTGGAGGCATGCGCTACGATCCGGATCGACACGTTTGTTGTAATGGATTTGCCTCAGCAAGAACAGACACAACAACTGACCAATGCTGTGGTAATATCCCATACAACAGCGCTATAATGGTATGCTGCACGAACGTACTAAGAATGAAGCCATCTAGAGATTCACAATGCTGTGGAACAAGTGCCTACGATCCCAAAAGATTTCGATGCTGTGTGGGGGGATATGGAGGCACGCATTCGACAAGACAAGGAGCCACACATGGAAGATGCTGCTGTACATTCCCAGTTGGAACTAATAACTGCTGTCAAAGACAGCGTTGACTAGACAGCCCAAGTATGGTGAATGATCAATCAGTATTATCTGGGCCAAACCGCAATCAACCTGCTTTAACTGGGCCAAACCGCAACCAACCAGCTTTAGCTGAATCAAACCGCAATACACGAACTTTAACTAGATCGAACCGCAATCAACCAGGATTAATAGGGGTTAACCACCTACCATATTCCAAAGTTCAGGAAATAGCCCATAGTCCAAATGGTAAAGTAAAGAATGATCCTATCTTGACATATTTTCTCAAACCTTTGTATACACCATTAGAACGATCAGGACAAAAGAGAAATTCAGACGGGAGACATACCCAAAGCGACGCTGACAAAATTGAAGATGATGATGACATGTTTGAATTACCCGGTCCAGAAGATTTATTGCATGAAGTTAAAAATCATATGTTGTCTTACCGTTTAAAGTCGAAATTACCATACCCCATCGGACCACGAAGAGTTCCACAACCTAACAGGCCAACTGGTGAACGCACTGGTGCTGCCAATCGCAATGAACTTAAAGGTTATATCCCGCAAGGTCAAACTGGGCGGGTTAATAATCCTTCACCTTATTCAGAAAATGATTTTATCCAAAATAAGAATAATCGAACCGATGTGAGACCACAATTCGAACATATTGCATCATCTTCATTGTCGTTAAACCGAAATGAGAAAAGAAATCGGTTTGGTGAAGTTCCATCTTTGAAACATGTTAAACACAATTCACACTCAAATGGTAATCACTTTCGTGAAGACAGGTATATATCTCAAGGTCGCCATATAGGTTCACCCAAAGTTGACATAGGTTCATCAACTAGATTGGCTAGAAAGAGTCATCCACATTTGGGGACGGTTGATTCCGAATCATCCGTTTCATTTCCATTTCACCAGACCCAAACGAATGGCAACTCAGAGTCTTCTGGATCTAATCCCTCTAGCGTTGTGTCAAACTCACATATTGGTATAAACCCTAGTAGAGACTTAAGAGGTAACGCGGACCAAAATAATTCTCCAGATTCTTCTTTACCGAACGCTAATGGAGATTATCTTGGTCAAAGCCAACTTGGTAGCAGATATGTTGCTAGATCTTCTATCAGTACTAATTCAAATGGTTTCCAAAATCCCGATTTAGCCGATAGCAATAAGCAATACCGTTCTCGCGATTCTTCTCTGTCGAATAATGGCAATGCTGATTATGTTGACCAACCACAACAAGGTAGCAGATATATTGCTAGTTCTTCTATCAATACTGATTCAAATAGTTTCCAAAATCCCGATTTAGCAGATAGCAATAAGCAATACCGTTCTCCCGATTCTTCTCTGTCGAATAATGGCAATGGTGGTTATGTTGATCAACGACGACAAGGTAACAGATATGTTGCTAGTTCTTCTATCAATACTAACTCAAATGCTTTTCGAAATGCCGGGATTCTAGATAACAAAAGGCAACCTCGTGATTCTCCTTTGTTGAATAATGGCAATAATGGCTATGTACCAAACAGAGTTGGACTGAGACAAAATCCAACTGTCCCTCCTACACATTCAGAAAGGCAGCCTCATTTTGATATCAAAAGTGCAGCTTCTGTTAATTCTGGTGATTCACTTAGCTCAAATGGTTTAAATAACAATTATCATTTACCTTATCGTTTGTCATCATCTGCTTCCATTAATCAACATAGTGATAGAGGTGTTCATCATGCCCAGAGTATAAAGGCTAGTGCATCCATAAATTTTGGACCAAATACGTTTCATAATCGTAATGCTGAAAGAGGCAACCAAGGCCAAATTGTAGACCCTTCTTCACCCATCCGTAGAGACGAAGCAAGAAATGGTCATCCAGTTCATAAGTTATATGAAGCTAAATCTGCAATCAACATTGGCCAAGGAACGTTCCAAAATGGGGTTATTGGAAAAGACAGGGTAGACCAATTGCGTCATCCAGGTTCCTCGATAGGCAATGGGAATCCCGTTTATAATGGCCAATCACGTCGGCCCATCAATACTAACACACGTTTTGACAACAGGGGTATGGTTCGCAATAATCAGCACTATCATCCACGTAGTTCTGTTCCTAATGATGGTCGCAATGTAGGTCGGGGCAATTCTAGATCGGTTAGTGGACGTGATAGTAGTTACGTTGCAACTTCCTCTATTAATACTAATTCAAATGGTTTTCAAAATCCCATGGCCAATTTAGCAGATAGCAATAAGCAATACCGGTCTCCCGATTATTCCTTGTTGAATAATGGGAATGGTGGTTATGTTGATAAACCACAACAAGGTAACAGTTATGTTGCTAGTTCTTCTATCAACACTAACTCAAATGCTTTCCGAAATGTCGACTTAGTTGATAACAAAAGGCCCGATCCCTTGTCGAATAATGGTCAAGGTGATTATCTTAAAAACCAACAAGGAAGTAGTTATGTGGCGAGTTCCTCTATCAATTCAAACCGTGCCCAAAATAGAGAAGCAATCAATAACAAAGGTTCTTCCCCTTCTAACTTGTATAACAGTGGTCGTGGTCTTGATTATACAAGAACTGATCAACGAGATGATCGACTTGGTAGCACATATGAAGCAAGGTCTTCTATCAACAGTGGTCACTACACAGCATCAAGCAGACAGAGGGGTTCCAACTACCAACATCAGTCGCCACAGGGTTTGTCCAATGATCATCAACGAAGTCAACAAAGGGGTCCAGGAAACATTCACCAACAGTGGAAACTTCCGGGAACGCAACATACAAGACTCGCTGAAGAAACAAATACCAATTATGGTAATCATTACCAGGCAAAGGCATCTATAAATATGGGTCCAAACTCACAAGCATTTAAAAACGATCATGACCGCTTTAATCCGGAGCATAATTCCTATAGATCTAATGATAATGGAGGGAGATCCAACATTGAAGCAAATGCATTTATTAATGGTCAACCAAATAACTACCATGGTAACAGTGACAACAGCAGAATTAGGGCCTCGGCATCAGCTTCTATAACTCGCAATGGCGGCCAGAAATCATTCGCTTCTTTAGATGACTTGAGAGTCTCATCTTCTGTCGATATTTCAGGGCCATCAGCATCCATTGGACATTTATCCTCATCAGCAACTGCGTCTAGGCCGAGGTTTTATAATGGACATTTTCGAACACGTCATTGATTAAAACGTTCTAGGACCCCAAGAGAATACCAGTATTTGCATAGTGACGTCATATATCTTTTTTAATAACCAAGTTAATACAAATATTTATTTATCCCATACGCAGTTTAGCTTTGGGGAGATATATTCTGTATCCTGATTTTGAGGTTTCCATATCAAGAACCTCCATCTCCCGCTATTTTTTAAAAATGAGAAAGAATTGAAAAGAATCTAGAAAAAGTTGTTTTTTTAAATATTTAGAAAAAAATCGAAAAAAATCTTGAAACAAAATTAGAATATGTATTCAAAAAAATGTTTTTTTCAGAAAACTTTACTGGCTATAGGATAAAGCAGTTACATGTACGTTATGGGATTTATCTCTCAGGAGATATATCTACCTTCGGTCGGTCTCTCAGGTAGATATGCATATCTTCGGAGGGATAAACCCCATAACCAGAACCTCCCAGTACATAACCCTTATTTAATTTATTTCCATTTAAAACTTTTATACAAAGAGATTAGTGTAAGAATACACATTATCAATATGGATAATGTTATACTTCTATGTTATACACCACTTACAAAAGCTTGGTATCCCCGAATCTTCAGCCATGTGCTTTGTAAAAGCCTGCTTATTATCGCATTTGAATTTTTTGTCGGATACAATTAGTCAGAAAATGAGATAAATCATTTTTGGGGTTGCCAAGCTTTTGTAGGAGAATGTATATTTATACACGAAAGCATTTGAAATATGTCATATACATATAGCATAGACATAAACTCTTATTACTATACACGGACAAGTTTTTGTTACTTTCCTCAGTGGTACACGAGATAAGTTGTATCACGACCTTACAGATTTCCCTCAAAAAGGTTTTGAAAACCAAACTCTCTAACTGAAACAATTGTTTTTATTTATGTTTAGAGATAAGTATAGGATATCCTACGATACTGAGAGATATCATTTTTATCCACGAGTTGATATCAATATCTGGACGAGTGAACGTAGCGTTAAATGATATCCGATTGGAATTCGATGTTTGACTTTTTAAATGAGGTAGACACTTTTTGCAAAATAATGTTTGATCTGACAGAACTTGACAGCAGCAAAAACGATGGGGATTTAAAGGAATTAGAAAATCAAAAATGTTCCAAGCAATCATATGCTGATGTTCAATGCAAGTCCTTTACAATTCTCATTTTAATTTCTGAAATGAGAGTTGAGATATTTGATCAAATATGAGAGTTATTCAGATTTAAAGGCAGAATCAGATCAAGCAATTACTTTGTTGCTCCACCTTGGCGAAATTGTTTCAAAAGAATATTTGGGGCTCATATCACTCCTTGTCATGTCTATCTTCTAAAATAACATACTTTATTTGAAGAAAACAAAAGATTTTTTACAATAATGCAATCATTTGTCTATAAGAATGGTTACCATTTATATTACTTGGGAGAATTTAAATATCCCCCCATTTTGCACTTTGAATCTTAAATAACTTCACCAATTGATAACATTTCACGGATCTTTTGGGAGATATTATATCTGAGCTTGTATGGAATACATTGAGATCAATTGTACTTGCTTGCAATTTTGTCACTCCTTTTAGATCTGATTCTGCCATTAAGAAGCAGAAATGTCCATCAGAATTGAAAAAGAGGACGTCTTCCTTTTCTATTTTAATCCTGATTTTAAATTCAAATTGTTCGGCCTTTTAGAAAATAGGCATTACATGTAATGATGGGAGCAAGTCCTTAACTTCAATTCCAAAGATTGGGTACTAAGCGAGACAGCAAAATTCGCCCTATTGTCCTCCAATTCTCTAACCCATGCATCCATGGCTCGTGGATAGCGAAAGCTAAGAACTTCAAGGGATCTTGAGACCTTTTGGGTAGGGTAGAATATACGGGAAATATCATACCGTCACGAGGAATAAATCCATATTCAATTCTGACCGGTGAATAAGCTTTTTATCCCATGATATACATGAAATGATTAGTTCAGAATTGATATTGACTTTTGTTTGAAACGAAGCTTTTCTGGTCTCCAAAAAAGATTATAACTTTATGATATTTTGATATATAAAAACTTTATTGTATCACTGAGTGTATAACATCACATCATCACATCCGTGCATGGAAAATTCAACAATGCGGCACACGTTCATTATACTATAAAAAATGTATTTATTGCTCAGATTTCTGTGACTTTGATTGTCTATGTCAGAGCATGATGATGAAATTAAAATTCGCCTGTGTTTAGGCGTCGCACTACTGACACTTCAAAATCACTCAATTTTCAACTTTGTTTCGAAAATACTATTTTTACATAAAGTCGTTATACACCTGTCGGGATAATATGGGGAATATCCCTCGGATGATATCGATATTTCCCTCAGCCACTGCGTTTGTAATTCAAATGAAATGAAATGAAACGTCAGCCCCAATAAAAAAGTAACAATGGGCTCCAAAAATCTGAAAAACAGAAAATATCTTAAAAACTTCCAAAATGTCACAATTCTTAAAAATGAATGAATTGCTCACTAAGTTTAGAGCAATTTTCCATGCTATGATTCTTATAGAAATAAAGTAATGGTGAATGAAAATGAAAAAGTTTATTCAAAACGAGGTTCATTGTCTGAATTCAAAAATAACTATCAAAATCAAATACTAATCAAGTAACATAAAGATCAATATTTTTACACAACGCCATTAATCAGGTAATGTGCCATCGTTATACACATAACAAGGGCACTTTGTTTCGAGCATTGGAATTTCCTACACGAGGGGTATATAAGAGGGGCTAGAGGAAACTAGTTCAATAGAGAAGTAAGAGGCTTAACACGAATTATTTCTTGCTATTGTCCTTTCTTCATATTGATCATCAGCATCATAATGTTCTTTTGTGTCATTAATTAGGAAGTCCGGCAATTCGTACAAGTGGTTCATCGTCGATCAAGTGTTCTCAGAAAACGTTGCTTTGTTGCAGCAAAGCATACGAAGGGCAGCTCTCCTGAACTGAGAATTAGTGACGGTATATATGATAGCGTTCCAGAAAGAGTTTGAATTACATAACAATCTGCTCATTCGCTGTACCCATACAGGTATTATTGCGGATGGCACAACCAGTACCACAATCCATTCAGTACAATGTGGTGTCCAGGCAACATAGAAACCTGTCACAATAACCAATAACGTTCGGATCCCCTTCATGCTTGACTTCATGGACCAACTTTTGCTCCGACCACCTTCGGGTGAAATTTGTTTTGACTGTCTTATAACCACATTTAATATCTTGATAGAGCAGTAGAGTATGACGATGGATGTTATCAGTAAGATTAGGATGATTGCAGATATTGCAAGTACAGGGGCAGTCGAAGGATCTGGATTACATAACATTACACTATCTATATAGATGACTCGGCTAATCCCTAAAACTGAGAGCAACCAAAACATGAAACTAAACACCCAAACGGTAACCATGGCAACATATGCCCTCTTTTTACTGCAATAAACATTATAGTGTAGGGGGTGTATTATAGCGATGTACCGGTCCAGACTCAGAAGCCCCAACATGTATATTGAGACGCTCAGACTCATGCTCTGTACTAATGATGCAAACTGGCATAGCGGATATGTCAGCTTTCCATTGGTGGCGAATATGTTCATCAGAGGAAGTGCTACAACGACTCCAACCAGAAGATCTGCAAACGATAATGAAATCATGAATAATCCTGTTACTTGTTCTCGAAGCTGCGGCAGTTTTAATATGACAACAATGTTGAATATGTTACAAACTACTATTGCCAGAGCAATGAATATGAATGCCGTCCCCCAAATGTAATCCACTTCGTATGTTTGGGGTCCGCCCACAGGATCGGTTTGATTGATGAAAGCCATTTTTTCTTTTCCTTTTTTAGAATGAATTGTTTCCAGAAGTCCTTTCTTGAAACACTCCGTCTGTCTATAACTCTACCACGGTCTGTATAAGTCTTATTTACCAGTGTTCTTTTAATCTAACTGATCAAATGTTTAATTATCCTAATGGAATTTCCACACATAAATCGCAGTGCTGTTCGTATTCATATTTCTTGTAGTAACAGTCAATTTCTGTTAGATTCCGGCAAGCTCAAATCAGTTTTGTTGTTCTTCTTCCTTAATCACACCGCGGTACTTAAACGGCGTTCCTGAGACATATCTTTTGAACCACTGACAAACGGAGCGCAATTTCAAAAGTGCAGGCGGGCAGGGCACGGCTCCGAAAAAGATATGAAATACAAGAGATACAAGGTCAGTTTCGTTTATCAGCCAGTACCATGCATTATGTGGAGACTAAGCTGGTTTATAAATAGCACTCAATTTTTTCCCGATGATAACCTACGAGGCCCGATCAAGTCCGAGGCCCGAGTAAGTAACCAACTGCTCTTATTTTTTCATACTTTATTCAATCAGATTGAAATTTATCTCAATCCTAAGTAGCTTTCTTGTTTAAAATGTACAGTCTGGTTGCGTCATAGTTTTACCTGTTTATCGTCATTTGCCGTTTATTTAGCCATTACTGAACGATATAGGATTGCTGCATCTGGTTAAAGTAACATAGTTTGTGTGCAAAACGATCACAAGCCATGGTCGTGATTTGACTTTTTTTCTATCTTGTTCTATCTTTCACGCAGATTTCCCGATGGCGTGTCTAATGTTTGCAAACTGCGTGCATATCAAAAAAGATCTTTTCAGAAAACTTATGCACCATATCCCGACCCTTTCCCTTTAACAGGAAAAACCAAAACTTTCCCAATCCTCTACACAAAAAAGACTCGACATCTAGTCTTTCGATCCTTATCATGATAAAATAATAAGTTTGTAGAATTCTTATGTTTTTGATAACGATAGACATTTTGACCTTGAGAAGGTCAATGAAGGTCAAATCTCAAATCTAAAGTCATATGTGAACTTCTGATAACTTGTAGATGATTTTGAAAAAAACTGAAGTCAGTCTAAACATTATTTGTAAAGTTGTTAGACGCCAACCGCCACCCGCCGATCGCCGTTATCACCACTGTTTGGTGGTGACATAAAAATTGGACTCCGGACATTTCATTTGCCTGCAGAATGAGAAAAATGTCTATCGATATCATTTTAGACGAGTATCAGTTTCGTCTCAGATTTCAAGCAATCTTTCACAATCGATGCTGTGGATAATATATTTAGTTGATTTACTTGAATTCATTTCTCATAGGTCATTATTTAGCGATTTACAAACTAAACCTAAATGTGCACAGCGCAGTGCGTCTCCACACTCACCTCGAGTAGGCCGGGAGTTTGAGCATATTTAAAAACATGTTTTGAGTATGGTCGGGATAATAGTCGTAATAACAAGATTTAAGACAAGATTTCTCAAAAAACTTCAAAATGGCTGCCAGACAGCAAGATGACCGCCGAAGAGTAAATCAGCTCTAGAACCTCTTACCATGCACAATATTTCTTGAATTGAGAAAAGCTCAATCTGACGATAACATCGCATAAAAAGCTAGGTACGATAATAATATAGGAATATCCTATGGATTTGAAAAAATATCATTTAAATAAAAGACATGAGTGGATCGGATATATTTTCAAAAAAATTCTATAGAAATAAATTCAAAAAGAATTCTAAAACCTATTTATTTTTAATTTTTGTACGTCATCACACAATGAATGTGACATAAAATGATACAATTTATCATATAACATTTTCAACTTTTTTCAACGATTGTCGCTAGATGGCGACTATCGTCGTCTAAGGGTTTTAAAGAGATGGGGTCTCCTAAAAACACAATTAGAGTAACCCCCTGATTTTTTCGTGTTATTTGATGTAAAACAAGTTTGTTTATCAACTTATCAATAAATAAACTTAACAAACTGAGTAACTATGAACCTAAGTTATCATCCTTCACTTACAAAGTCCTTCATAGATTTTTAGCAACTAATACATACCTAAAAATGTGTGGACTCGTAGAGTCAAACATTTGCACTTTTTGTAAAGCAAATCCTGAAACAATTTGCCATCTTCTGTATGGATGTACTATTGTAAGTGCCTTATTAAAGGACATTAAACAATGGCTCCCTTTAGAGCTCACATTGCTATGTACTAAACAAAATGTATTGATAGGACCTGAGAGTATAAATGAGAAGACAATCATCCTAAATAATATGCTATGTATTTTTAAAAGGTATGTTTATTTGTGCAAATATTCTATGCTAAAACCAACACTTAAAGGTTTTATAAGTAATGTGAAGGAATATTTTATTATGGACAAACGGGTTGGCAGAGGCGATAAGTGGAAAATCATGGAAGCAAAATTAAACAAATGAAACTGATGATTTTTTTTAAAAAAATGCCAATGGTATAACGTCCCTTAAAGACTAACTTTTAACCAATACTGTATTGTAAAATTGTAAAATGTATGTTTATCATGTAACTGTACTGTAATTGTTTTTTTGCAATTGCTTTAACATGCTTATTCTTTGAAATAAAAAAATTATAAAAAGAAAAAAAAATGTTTAATGAAAAAAAACAAAAAAACTTATCAATTCTGAGGCTTGAATTAATTCGTTAACAGTATCAATTCGATGATTGTTCCTAGCCATGAATTTCCACTTACATCAATAGAAATTTAAATTTAAAAAGCCCGCTCAAATTTGTTCCAGTCTGATTGGCTTTTTCCTTCAGATTATTTTGGCTTAGCCTAGAGAAGTCATATTTATTACTTCTAAGGGGTTACAATATAGATAAATCCCCAAAAAACATTGTATTCTGTTTTCGACTTATTGCGTTCAATTCTGACAGTTGCTTGGTTGTTCTTTTGGTTGTTCTTTTGGTTGTCCTGTTGATATCCTCAATATATTGTCGATATCGTGCTTATGATTTGGTCTCAAGATATATCTAAGGTATATATGATGTTTGATGAGCAATTATATTGGGACATTACTGATTGTCCAGAATAGAAATCTGGACGATTCGATCTCTTTAACAAGTTTTAGTTAAACATATTAATGATTAATAACACTAGAGAAATTACCGGGAATAGTTCTGATACGGGATTTTTGCTGATACGGGATCCAATACGGGATTTCGGTTGATACGGGATCTGATTCGGGATTTTTTGAATATCAATTTTATTCCCTGATATTTTCCCGGGGAAAACATATTATTATGGAATAATAATAAATATGATATAGTATTTTTGCGTGATTGACTTTTTGAGGACTGGCACATGAATCTCTAAATAAATCTTGCCTTTTCATAAATATGGAAAATACTTGAGACGTGTCGTTTCATAGGTAAATCTTTTCGGTCCTTGCAGTGTACTCGTACAATACAAAATATTTCGAATCAATATTAAAATAAATTATCATTAGATAAAAAATAAAGATCCACAAACCGCGTGCCTAATATTTTAGCCAGAAATCACAAAATGCGTGCCTATTATTAGAATTTCACGTTTTTGTGAGTCTAGTATATCAAGTTAAGATTTAGATTCTGTAATAAATCAAGATAGTTGGATTGTTCAATACTGATAGCACTAATATTATTATCACATTAACCTCACACTTTCATAGAACTGAAACGGTCGGTTAATAAGGCTTATATTCTTGTTATTTTATGTTATTAAGTTTATGGTTGTGTTTGAAACATTGTGTAAATAGAACGCCATATTCATAGGAGCATGCAAACTGTGTAGTGTAGTGAAAATCGAACACAATTAGGAAAACAAGTTGTGAAACAAGAGATTCACTTGAATCAATAAACGTCGCTTAAAACTGATACTCATTAGTCTTTCATATTTGGAAATAGAGAGTTATTATTGGTCTAACTAGTTTCTGAGAGTTCTCATTGGTCAAACAGGTTTTGGCACAGCTAACCTTTACGTGTGAGTTGTGCAAGGTTGATATCGTCAGTTGACCAGAGGGCATGATACGATGAAGACTATGTGATTTGTGGCTTCTTGTTGTGTTTGGATTTTGGACCATGCTTTGTCGAGTATTGGATACTGGTACTAGGTTTGATATTCGGAAGTACATTAGGTATAGTACAACGAGGTACGCCTTTGACTTTATTACTAGTGGTAGTTCGAGATCAAATACTTGATGTTAGATGTATTACGATAACGGAAGTTAGGGCGTGACATGGCCCTCTGGCGCTCCGGGGTTGGATCTCGTTATTAGCATTTCCATTTTATCTCTTATTGTCTGTGGCTTGTTTTATATTACTGTATGCATGTATTGTTTTATGTTGTAAATAAATATTTGATGTTGTAAACCGTGTTGATTTTATCCGATTGTTATCCTTATAAATACCCTCTGTCCTTTGTTCTTTTTGCTTAGCTGTATTTTCAGTACCATCAATACCCCACATCAAGGTCGCATTACAGAACTATTCTAATTCCTAAACAAAACAACGGGACAGTTTTCATATCCTTTAATCACGAGTTTGATAACTTTATTTGAAAAGCTTTAATCGTGACAGCTGTTCATACAATCCTCATAGTCAGCGTCATTTACATCGCAATTGTCAAGACAGTCATCGAGAGATCGGGTATCCGTTTGAGCTTG